CAAAGTCAGATGCTTAACTGACTAAGCCACCCAGGTGCCCCTAAACCCTAATTTTCTACAAGATGCAATAACATTTAAGACTGGATGAGATATAAATAAAAGGTAGTATTTCTTGGGGTGCCTGGGTGGCTCAGTTGGTGGAGCATGCAATGCTTGATCTCAGGGTTGTGGGTTCAAGCCCCATGGTGGGTGTAGAGATTACTTAAGAAAAAGAACATCTTTAGAAAAAATAAAAAGCAGTACTTAAAAAACAGGCTGAAAAAATATGTGTTCTGGATTTAGGGCCAGATGGTTCTCCAACTTTGGTGTATATTAGAATAACCTGGGAAACTTTCAAAACTAATTCAAATGCCTGGGCCCCACTCCAGGTTTATTGAGTCTCTAGCAGTAGGCCTCAGGCACATGAATTTTTTAAAAGCTCCAAGGCGACTCATATGCACCTTTTCGAAAGCTTGGCGGATCATCTTCCTGTGCACCTACACCCAAGAATCATTGGTTTAAACAAGAGAAACTTTTGGGTTAAGGAGGCTGGTCATGTTTGGCATGTTTTCACCATGTTCTCCTGGCACATTTTTGAAACAGAAAATTCAGAGAACTGATTTGCCCTGATTTATGTATTTGAGTAGTGTTCTTAAAATAAAAAACATCCTCCACCCTTGAGTTGATTTAGGGGATCAGAAAAGAAAAAAACCAAATACATCCCAAATACTACACTTGATTTTCACCTAAAGCCTTCTCTGCTAGTCCAACTTCTATTAATTTATAAATTTCAAAACAGAGTTACTTAAGTAAATATATATTTAACTATGTACAATATTTACAGCTTACAGACTTAACTCAAAATTATACACTTGAGTAAATGTGTAAAAAGTTGCCAATATAGTATGTAATACTGGAAAAATTTCAGAAACAACTTTACCTCAAAAATATTTTACACCAACTTTCCAAAGTGCTATCTTCACAGGTTCATTGTATCTTAACAACCCAGTTAGGCATGAAGTAACCAAGATCATATCCAGAGACAGCACTTTTGGTACCACTGTAGAGGGTGTAGAAATCTTGGGTCTTTGAAACCCTATAATAAAGCCCCTTTTACCCTCCAATCCTGAGACAACAAATCTTGTAGTTCTCCCTCATCATCGCTGTCAACATTCTCCTCTTCCTTTTTCTGCAGTTCTTTTATAGTCAGAACCTCTTTAAGCTTATTTTTAATTTCATCCTGGCGATTCCGAAGCTTTTCCACCCGACGGTAACATTCTATCTGCTCATCGATCTCCCCAATTTGCCGGTCCAACCGTCCCTCCTCATCCTCTTCAGCAACTATGGCTTCGGAAATGGTATTGACCTGTCTCATGGCCTTTTGAAATTCGTCCCACTCTTTGTCCATCTGATCCTTTGGGGCATCAACCTTTCGAACCCTAGCGTCTATTTCAGGGTCATCAAAAAAGCCTTCCGGTAATGCTTCCGCTGTGTTTTCTCTCCTTTCCACTACTTTTTCATGTATTTCTGCTTTCTCAATGGACCCTGAATGAGGAATTAAAGGGGCCTTGGGAGGATTTGTATCCGAGAAGCCGCTTGGCAGCATACTACTTGTTGCCTCCCTCGAGGAAGAAAGCGAGTGTTCCTTGCCCTGTGCATCGGGCGGCTGCTTGCCGGCGTCTCCCCTTTTCCCTTCTCCTCCCTCCTCCTCCTCCTCTTCTTCCTCATCTTCATAATCAGGGAGTAAACCGAGTCCTGAAACCTTAATGAGGGTCGCTCTAGTGGACTCCTTCCCTGCTTTGTCAAAGTTGGTGGACAAAGCGGATGTGGAGGGCTGTACCTGGGGCAGCGGGGAGGCCTTGGGTCTTTTGGCATCTTGACCGTCCGCCTCCGACGACTTCCTCTTGGCTGACTGAGGCACTGAGCTGGCGGACGGACCCTGGGTGGCTTCCTTCGCGCCTTTCAGCTCGGCCACTTTCTCCCGGTGCTGCTTTCCCAGGACGTGAGTCTGCCACAGGAGCTCGCTCTTCACCGGGGTGTTGCACAGGGCACAGCTCAGCTGCCCCAAACGGTTGTACTTCGCAAATGGAGATTCTATCCGTTTCCGGTTGGTGCTCAGACGCTGCTTCTCCTTCATCAAGCGCCGCAGTTCGTCCTGATTCACCACTCGCTTCCCCGCCGGAGTGCGAGCAGAGGCGGAGGACGCCATCTTGGCGCCCTGACCCAAGGTGATTCTGGCTTCCGTGCGGGCGAGGCCTGGTAACGTCACTTCCTGTGCTGGCGAGGATTGGCTGAGGGTACGCGAGCGCGGGCGGTGGCGCCGGGATTTCCCTCAGGATCCGCGCTAAGGCTGTTTTTGCCGGCCGGGTCGCACGCTCAACGGTGCTATGGCTGCGATCACGGCGGTGAACTCCAAGGCAGAGGTGGTGCGGGCCCGGTCGGCCTGGGCCGTCAACATATGCGCCGCCCGAGGGCTGCAAGATGTGCTACGTACCAACTTGGGGCCCAAGGGCACCATGAAAATGTGAGGCGGCGGTTGGGGAGCCGGCGGCTTGTTGGGTGTCGCTGCGCGCTCTAAGGCCGACGTTCCATGAAGGGCCTGGAGCGACGGGACGCACCTGTGGGCCTGGTTGTCCTCGTTCTCATTCTTGCCCTGAGGTCATCCCTGGCCTGGGGCGGGAGGAGCCCGAGGAAAGGGCCCCCGATGAAGCTGTGACACCCACCCCCCACCCCCTACCCCCCGCCCACGTTAACGCTCTTGTGCAGTTGGAAAGTCGTTTCATCTGGTGTCTCTTTAGAAACATAAGCGGTTTAACTCCCCTGCTCTTTGAGACTATATGCCCTTAGGTTGGTTTGTGTTTGGCAGTGTGTTGTAGCGTTAAGGGCACACAGGCCTTGCGGTTGCAAATCCAAGTTCCCCTTCCAGCGTGCGTCCTTAGGCAACTTAACTTGAACGCTTCGTGCCATCAGCATGCATTTACATAGTATCACAAGTTTCTTTGGAAGAGTGAGGAAAAAAGAGCAAAAAATTTGTAAGGGGGAAAGATGCATTCTAAGAGGAATGAGCAAAATTAATATTAACGGTAAAAGAGAATGTGTACTAATTGGATGTTGGGAACACAGATGGTGAAGGTATCATATATGTTATTGATCATATATATCGCAAATATAATAATACTGAGGAAAGGGACTAATTACTGATGGTGGTAGGGAGAAGGAAAAACCTCCCGAAAACAGATTTTTGATCAGAGTCTTGAAAATTAAGTTAGAGTTCACCAGTTGGAGAAGGGAGTAAAGGCCTCCTGGTGAGTTAAGGAATGAGAAAGTCCAGTGATGTAAATCCAACAGAAGTGAAAACAAGCATGACGTATTAAAGGAACCATAGTATTTTCCCACCAGATCTCATTTGGTAGATGCCAGGAAAAATGGACATAAACCAGTTTGGGAAGGGTGAACTAGGTCATTGCCAAATAGTCTGGACTTTACCTTGAAGGTGATGGAGAACATAAAATTCATTGAAAGATTTTTTTCCCCCATGTTTGTAAGAATCATTGAAAGATTTTTCAACGTTTTTTTTATTTATTTTTGGGACAGAGACAGACCACGAACGGGGGAGGGGCAGAGAGAGAGGGAGACACAGAATCGGAAACAGGCTCCAGGCTCTGAGCCATCAGCCCAGAGCCTGACGTGGGGCTCGAACTCACGGACCACGAGATCGTGACCTGGCTGAAGTCGGACGCTCAACCGACTGCGCCACCCAGGCGCCCCTCATTGAAGGATTTTTGATCAGAGAACTGACTGAGTCACATTGCCTTTTAGAAAGATAAATGTAGTGTGGAGGGTAGATTCAAATTCAGAGATATTAGGATGCTGCTTAAGTAGTCCAGGCTAGAGATGTTGACAGTTGAACATGGAGAGGAGGGAGTAGATTCAAGAAATACTTAGGTTGTACAATTGACAGAACTTGATGATCTAATAAATGTGAGGGATGAGGGAAGAAAGTAAGTTGAGTGAATGAATGGTAACATTTCACACACACACACACAAAACCTACAGCAAATTTACAAATTTGTGGTTTGTAGACTTACAAATACTCTTCTTAGACCAAACTGCCATTCATAACTCATCAATTTCTGTTACCCTTAAACTTGTAAATGCTCCATTTGGAATGAAATGGCTATAGCAGTCCACATGGGGAGAAGTGATTCTGTAGGCTGTACATGGTGGTGGTTACCATGGAATCTCCCTATGGCACATAGATGTTTTGAAGCCCAGTTCCTGATATCAAGGATCATAGACTGGGAAGAACTGAGAATATCTTGCTTGACCCTTGCCATCTGAGGTTTAATAACATCACTGTTTTCTGAACAGGCTTATTTCTGGTGCAGGTGACATCAAACTCACCAAAGATGGCAACGTACTGCTCCATGAGATGGTGAGCTGATGCTACTGACTCTAAGAAACCTTAATAAGCCTAGAACATAGTACAAATTGTATATCCTTAAAAAAATTTTTTTTTAATGTTTATTTTTGAGAGACAGAGAGAGACAGAGCACGAGTTGGGGAGGGGCAGAGAGAGAGGGAGACATAGAATCTGAAGCAGACTCCAGGCTCCCAGCTGTCAGCCCAGAGCCTGACACAGGGCTCAAACCCATGAGATGTGAGATCATGACCTTAGCCGAAGTCAGACGCCCAACTGATCAAGCCACCCAGGTGCCCCACAAATTGTATATCCTTAAACCAAGGCTGTCAGCTTGCTCATACTGCAGTCATGAGTTATACTTGCTGGGTTAAACCTTAATAAAATATATTTTTGGTTGTTTTCAAATCTTCATACAGACCAAGTAATAGCTTAGAGATACTTCCAAAATAGTTCCATCTTTTAAAGGCACTGTGTTATGTTCTTTGTAATCATGAAAATATAAAAAATCCTTTGCAATTTTAGTAAATATATTCATCTTAGAGATTGAAGGATTTAATGTTATTTTGGAAATGTCATTGCATTCTAAAGCAAAGACTCTTCTAAGATGTTCAAACCTCATTAGTTCTCAATTTAAAAATTTTGGGTATTGACATTTATTAAGTATTGATACTACAGAATTTGTGAACGTGTAGAGTGAGGCTTATTTCATTTCTTAATTTTACTAGTGGCCCTTAGGTTATCTTGTTTGCATTGGACTGTTTTTTTTTTTTTT